TTGGAGAGCATATTGATCTCACGGATAGCGTCTACAAACTAGAAATGTGCATGCGTTTTTTATTACTTCGAGCAACTTTAGGAGGCGATTTCGTAAACTTACGCGTAGTATATGCACCTGATGACCCCATGTTTGGTGGAGATTTTTTCGAGCAATTCCTATTCATATTGAAGCAATGAACTGTGAAGTGGATACGGTGGAAAACATTAGACACATTGTATCAGGCGACTTCAACTTTTCTATGGATGATTACCTGGACCAGACAGCTGCGGATCGGCCTCACCTGAGACGGGGTCAAAACGAACTTGACGATTGGCTTGGAAAACTGTGCATAGTTGGTAGCCCGAACTTACTTCGTGAATAAATGAATTGGTCTATTGTATTGTCACGGCTGACCTACTTCAAGACAACCTATTATCATTTCAACACGTTCGTATCACAAGTGGTATAACGAAGATCACATAACAGTTGAAGTGTGCCTTTCCTCAAAGCCTGTCCACCGCAGTGGACGTCACACCTGGAGATGTCCAACTTGGCTTTTACGGGACAATCAAGTGCAACGATATCTAGCAACTTCAATTCAAACACTGGCTAACCGTATCAAGATCTACCCGGGGGCGAATTCTGGCTGCCTTCTTGATGACCACAAACGGGCAGACTGTATATACCCTCGAGAATGTTGAAAGGAACTACGACAAGCAGACGAATGAATAGTGGCTGCGAAGATAAGTGCAGTTAATGCGGCCGCCGACTTGGTGAATGTCCTACCTACAGAAATAAACAAAAACGTGTTCGAACAAGTCAAAATGGATCTCAAGTCCCATCAAGACGATTTAAAACACGGATTGAATATAAGAAGTTTATCGCGGACTTATACTTAAGTGAGCGAGCAAAAAGTTACCTCTTCCGTGTCCCGCAGTCGAACTGCTTTCGTTCACCAATCACGGAGTTGTCTATCGTAGACGGAACGGTTAATGATGACCAATCAGCATTATGGCAAGCCATCGAAAATATTGGAGAAGGATCCTTCAGTCCACGTCCGCTGACTTGTTAGACCAGCGATCTTCAGCTTATCGCCCACTTCGTTTCGCTACATTGCTGCAGAATACAAAGTCACGGCTGTCAGCAAGGCAACAAGCTATGCTTGACGCCCCAATCACAGCAAACGACATATACTGGTCAATTATGGCATCAAAAATGGTAAATCGCCAGGTTCATATGGTTTACCAATTGAATATTACAACCTTACACGAGTCTGTGGGCACGAATATTTGAAGACATATACAGCAGTCAGTTGGATAAGGGGAAAATGACCAAGATTCAAAGACGGGCTCAACTGTCTCTACTATACTAAATGACCAAGATTCAAAGACGGGCTCAACTGTCTCTACTATACAAGTCCGGTGACCACACTATACCCGAAAACTATAAACCGCTTACTCTTCTCAATCACGATGTAAAGCTGGGACCAAAGGTCCTACAGTGGCGGCTGGGTCAGGTTTCACAGTCTATCATCCACGAAGACCAAGGTGGCTTCGTTCCAAGGCGGTCTATCCGTCACTCATTACTTCGCTTTCAAGATTTACAGGAACTTTGCAAAGCAAAGTACCCGGATGCGTGTGCGGTACTCTTGGATTTCGCCAAATCATTTGATAGCGTCCTTTGGCCTGCTTTGGATATGGTGCCCCGCCTCTTCGGATATTGGTGCGACATTCCGTGCATGGGTGAAGACTTTCTACAAATAAACATCTGTCAGTCTTCTACCTAATGGCTGCCCTAGTGACCCCTGTCTACTGGGCGCAGGTGTTAGATAAAGAGATCATTTATCACCTGGTCTCTTTGTTGTTTTCATTGAGCCAATGATGAACTCTCTTCGCGCGAAGCTATCTTCCAAAGGCGTATTTGTATACGACACAGACACATTCCATCTGTTACTATTGTTTTCTGACGACTGCACCGGATAGTTGTCTGATCTCGACGACGCCGATGAATTTCTTGGTCTCGTTCAAGACTATGCGAATATTGCTGGTTTCAATGTTACGAAGATGAAAATCTTGCCGTTTTCGCATCATAGATCCTATCATGAGCTCGCAGAACTGCGAAGGCGAACTGAAGATAAAGTGTTGTCACCGTGGGAACAGTACGGCTTCTTTGTGTAATACAAGGAGCAACTGTTACAACGGAACAACGATACAACGTGGTAATATAGAAGATACAAGCTCGGTGTGCATTTTGAAAATACCGTGCAAGAATACTACGAGGAAAGGTTGTCATACTGCAAAGTATCATCTTCCCGGTGCTATGGTCTACGACAAGTGTTACTTTGACACCTTTACCTATTTTGAAGCAAATTGACATTACAATACGCAATTTTGTCAACGCAAATGATACCAGTGCGTCATCAGCTCGCCCCGACGAATTTGATAAAGAATGGTTATCTACAAGCGTTCAAGAGGGTGGTCTTGGGCTTACTGCACCGAAAGCCTTCATCGATGCCATGCACTTAAAGTGTGGACGCGACGGCGTTGAAGCCACAAATGCCACATCAAACGAGCCTCGCTGGATGTCACCAGCATTGGCTCCATTTTCCATGGATCTACAACCATTAGGAGAATGGCTTCGACATATTTTACTCCAATATGAAAGGGGGATACTTGAATCACCTACCTGAGTATTAGAGAAGCACTTTGAAGCTTTTGGTTGTTTTACATAGCTCGCGCGGCACAATCAACTGGAAGTTGTTCGCGCAAACAATGCCGTTTTGGGACACCCTTCACTTCACGTTTGGGAAGCTGAAGGCACCCTTACGCAGTGTTAGCCCGAAGTCGGTTGATAAGCTCATGGAATTAAACTTTAACAGAGTTCAAGACTTTGTGAGCTTTAATGGTACGATCGCTATAATGAATATAGTACGACTACTACTTAATGCGGATGACTTCGCAAGGCCAAGTTCACTGGCTCGCTTAGTGAATGACACAATACGAAGCTTTACTTAAATATCCCAGGGGTTCTCCACACTAAGGACCTTCATAACATACAAGATCGAAGCCGCTTGCCATCCACGGAGTCTCGATGGAAAACTTGTTGTTGACAAGGAACACCATGACTTTGTTAAGTTACTGTTGCAGACACATAAAAATACAACTTCATACCTACCGTTGAAACAACTTAACATGTTGCCCGACTTTACGCCTACTCCAAGTATGTGGACTGCGGAGTAAACAGGGGATCGCTACGTTCTTCCGGTTTGTTTGGATGTTAAGTTTCGTCTACAACATGATACACTAGGAGTACGATATAAGTTCAAATGGAGAACGGAAGTCAACATGCCAACCACCTGTATACATGGGTGTACTGACGTTGAAGATGCCAAACACCTGGTTTGGGGTTGTCATGTGGCTAGTTACGAATTATTTCCTTAAGCCTTTCGAAGAGCTCATTGAAGGAGATCTCGATTGGACTTTGGTGATATTCGCAAGTGCTACTAAGCTATACGGGGTTTCTACTATACATTAGTACTCAACATTATTAGATATTGCGTTCTACGCGCCCTATGGCTACATCGAAGCAAAAAGCTGTATCACACTGAAGTAACAACTTGGGCGGGTTTCGTATGTAATCACGCTAGAGCTTACATTTAGTTGTACTTTCGCAAGCTTGCAGAAGTTGCTTTGAGGACAGCAAAACTTCAGTTAACAGCACAGATCACCACAATATCAAGCTCTTTACAGCTATATACAACGGGTGTATCAGATATGGTAATGACTTGGTTGTTTAAAATTTTTGATCACTACTATCATTTAACTATGACCATGACCACGACTATGCCTACAGCTATGACTATATCCTCGCTACAACTACGACTACAATAACGATCTCTTGCAACTAAGATTCAAGTTCTCTCGGGCCTACGTATGTTATTACGAAGTCAAATGGACTCGAGCATGTTAGTTTTTATATTGTATTATGTAAGGGGATACCGACTCATTTATCCGACTGGACCGAAACCCAGACCGAGATAGCGGGACTACCTTATATCTTCGAGAGTTTTGATTACGGGAAACTACGTGAAGATTACTGGATCTCAAGTAGTTGCGGACCACGGTCAAGACCAAGCCCTCAGCACCCGATGCACTTAATTGCGTATACATCGACATCAAGGTCCCAATCTGCACCTTATCCAATCATAGAACCCTTTTCAGCGCACAGTATTGACTTCGCTCACAGAAGTCAAGTCGTGCAGTAGAGCGCCGGGCTGGATAGACCTTCAGCTATCTCTCCACGTGGAGCACCTAACTTGCAGCGGGGCTGCCGTAGCTTTGCGCTTGAGAAAGCTTCTTTAGGTCACCGACCTTTTGTTCTA